TTCAGTGGGCAAGGAATGGACAACCAATGCATTTTAGATGAATTTTGTAGCTCCATTACTTAAAATAGTTCATAATCCTTATCACTGTTGTGTAATGAGTAAATCCAACTCTGCTGGAACCTCCAAAATTTCAGAATACAGTAAATATAGAAACATTTTTTGCCCAAATGCAAAACTCAGAAATTACACAGATTTACAAACTGAATTATTTGGCATTTTAAAAGATACATGGCTCCTTCCAACCACTTATATAAGCCACTGGTGAAATAATGGTTAAATGTCATCGAAGTTTTTGATATGTTGTTTTCTCTGTGGCATAGGACATCTTTTGTTGATTAGAGATGGTGATATGAATTGTGTTATGTCTTCATTTTTCTTGGTCTTTCTTCTGTGTCATTAAGAGTGAGCAAAATGTGGCAAGAAACATATTTTCATAATATTACTTTTTTTCTGTTTTGTTAGTCTAATATAGAAAGTGGAAATACAACTCTCTGTATCTGTCTATGCCTATATCCGTATCTATAAATAAAAGTAAGTGGATTCATTATGATTCTGGACTGACCTTGTGAAAAAACAAGAAGATGCTAAGTTTTTTAACATATGAATACCTTTAGTGAAATACATTTCACTTAGCAGAGTTGCTACCTTATCCTGGTGAGGAGCCTGGGTATCAGGAACTCAACAAGTATTCTTCCCTGTCTCCCTGCAAGGAACCTAACAAGAAGTAAAGCAAGTATTCTTTCACCAGCCATCCTCCTTCCTTTCTAGAATCCAGAAATATAGGTACAGTATTACTAGCTTTTCTTTTCTTTTCTTGAAGAAGCAAAGCATCTTAAACTTCAAGTGAGGTGAGGTTGAGGAGCCTAACGCTGAGGGAGGCCCGGAAGGAGAAGACAAGAAATCGAGCCTTCTCGGCGGTGGCTCCTCGCCTCTGGAACAATCTCCCTCCTGAGATTCGCGGGTCTCCCTCGCTGGGTATCTTTAAGAAACAATTGAAGACATGGATGTTTGGGCAGGCCTTTCCATCATATTCCTTTTGACCTCCTTCTTCCCTCTTTACTGTTTCTGTTTTGCACTCGATGTAATGTATTGTAGTGTTTTTACTGATTAGAATGGCTTATTTATATTGTTACAGGATTTTATTGTTGTTAGCCGCCTAGAGTGGTCCTCACCGACCAGACAGGCTAAAATAAATAAATAAGTTAACTCTCTGCATAATCTCTTTCAAGGCATTTCCCATATTGTCCAGAGATGTCCCTCCAGCTACATGAGTCATAGGCTTCACAATTCAAATTAGCTTACATTACACAGAAAACGTATTGCTGTGTTTGCAATAGGCGTCGGGAACAGCAGAAATAATTTATAATATTGTCCTTATGTTAACATTGGTTTATGCACTAGATTTAAAAAGTTTGCTTCCAATCAAGAGATATCATGAGGATTTGAGCCTATTAATCTCTATTGTTTCTCTTAATAATTTAATTATTTTGATTCATTTCAGTTCTACAATCAAGCAAATAGGAAAGAGATGGATTTTTCCTTATCAGCCTTGATTTCACTAAAATACCATACGTGACATTATAACAGTTTGTTTTCTAGTGCATTCATTATTCATTTCAGATCCCTTCAAATCTTCATCTCATATTGGAAATGAGTAAATCTAACCCTGCTGGAATTGCAGGAATTGCTCATTTTCATTACCCCAGTGAAATATTTAAAGCATGCTGTTTCTTTTGACTACTCCAATTAAAATACCAGGTTTTTACAGTAAAGGATTTTTCGCCTCCAAACACTGCAAACAGAGATTCGAAAGGTCATGAGGATTACGTATTAAAACATACACATTTAATTGAGACAGATGTGTGCTTGTTTGTTTTCTATGGCACTGTTGGTTGAACAGCCTACTGTGTGTCCTCAAAGGAGTGCTACAGAACCCGATTTTCAGTACATCAGCTTTATTACTATCACCATTTGTTTCAATGCAGCAGTTTGAATATTGGGATTTAAAAAATATTTTTCAAAACACAAACAAAAATTGCTGTCCGTAAAGGAAGAAAGAAACTTGTCACATTCCCCCACTGTCCTCCATATGAAATAATGACGAAATATGCATATGGCTTAACTTTATGGATGGGACGTAGTGGCGCTGTGAGCTAAACTGCAGAAGCCTGTGCTGCAGGGTCTGAAGACCAAGCAGTTGTAAGATCGAATCCACGTGACGAAGTGAGCGCCCGTCACTTGTCCGAGCTCCCGCCAACCTAGCGGTTCAAAAGCATGCAAATGCGAGTAGATTAATAGGGACCACTTCGGTGGGAAGGTAACAGCGTTCCGTGTCTAAGTCGCACTGGCCATGTGACCACAGAAGATTGTCTTCGGACAAAACGCTGGCTCTACGGTTTGGAAATGGGGATGAGCACCGCCACCTAGAGTCAAACATGGCTGGACAAAAATTGTCAAGGGGAACCTTTACCTTTACCTGTGTGTAGGCATCCTTCAGTCTCAAGAGACTATGGTATCGTGCTCTGTATGGAGGTCTTGGAACAGTGTTTTGTGTGGCTGAGAAGGCCAATTCGAGAGTGACAATCCCTTCCACACTGGAGACAAATCCAATCTGTCCCCTGTCCAGCTCCCTGGTTTAAACAGGGTTGGCGCAAGGACACAGCCTTGTTTTACTCCGCTTCGGATGTCAAAGGGATCTGATGTTGAGCCATCAAAAACTACAGTGCCCTTCATTTCCTCATGAAAGGACCTGATGATATTAAGGAGTTGAGGTGGACATCCAATCTTGGGAAGTATTTCCTTTACCTAACTTTATGGGAAGTATTACCTTTACCTAACTTTATGGATACCAGATAAATCTTCATTTTATACAGAGTGGTTGAGTGTGGTCAGGCTTATGGGATCTACTATATTCTTACTTGGCTTCTGAGATCCACCAACCATACTGCTCCAAAAATATAGGACTTGAACCAACTTCTAGCCCAACTGGACCAGTCTTAATGGATCAACAGGTGAAAGGTTAGTCAAAGTTTACCCTAGGCTTATAGATTGATGCACAATCTGATAAAAAGACCTACGCTGGCAGGCTGCAGTCCTGGATGGAGGGCGCAAGAGGTGCTTTCTTGTTGGGAGAGCCAGCGAGCAAGGCAAGGCTTTTTTTGACTCTTGACAGCAGAGGACGCGTGGGCACTTTGGGGGGGAGGCAAATCAGGGGCCACAAACTATCGTCCGGTGGGCCGCAAATGGCCCCCGGGCCGCCTGTTCTAGATCTTCTGTGGCATAGTCACCTTAGGAGATATAAACAACAGCCTCAAGTTTCAGCCATTTTCTAAGCCTATTTGTTTGTCTGTTTTAAAAAAAAATACTGTTGGTACAGAAATTTATCATTTTTCTGCCAACAGGGTATTTCTTTTTATCCTTGCCAGTGTAATGTGTTCCAACAAAAACAAACAAACAAACAAAAACACATCCCCATGCCACTTTGTACAAACCATGATTCTGAGCAGCAGAAGTAAGGTATTCTGGCTGCCAGGAGACTGGCTCCATTGAGGTTGAACACTGGAATCCTCAAAGGATACATGCAATACAAGAGAGAGAGATAGCATCCTAAACTGAACTACAACTATGACTCTACTGCACTTACTACATGGCAATTCCAGTAGGGCCAGAATACACCCCAGAAATCATTCAATGCATTTTAAAAAACACGATCCTGCTACAGGATTGTTAAAGAAGCATGAACTGAAGAATTTCTACTGAGTACCAGAACTGAATGGAGCTTACAGTGCTTCCACACAGGATCTTAGATTCCCAAGCTCTCTCTCTCTCTCTTTTTTTTTTTTAACTTCAGCAGGATTATTTAGAGCAGGGAGGTTTTTTGTTGCTGCTATTGTTAAACTATTAAAAATCCTTGCTGATCCAGTGCAGATCATGCAGAGATCTACTGTAAAATCCAGTCCTCTTGTAGATACTAAGGGAGTTCATGAACTAGCATCAATGGAATTAATAACTCATCTATTTTCCTTGGAATTATACAACAAAAATTGTATACAGATATCTGAACAATAAGAATCCCTTTCTCTCACCACTAAATTGTCTCATGACAGTCCATAAGCATACAGCACACTGACAGATGGTTAATGGCTAGAAGAACGCAGAATTTCATAGTCAATCTATTGTCCCAGTCTTCCCTGTCAACATTTTGCTGAATCTTTACTGGATCCATTTATAGTATGAAACTGACCCTAAGCCAGTTGCTGAGTGAAACATGCAAAATTAATATAATGTAAACAAGATCTGTGTTTTTGCCATCTTTAAAAGCGTTATCTACATGCAGCTCAACAATTTTTTTCTATGATTCCAATAAGCTGATTTACAAGGGAACATTTCTTCTGACACTTTGGATGTGTGTGCTTTACTATTACCAAGAGGTCATCCTTAATTAGCAAAAACCTTATTCAAACTAACCCTTTACAGAAACACTATTTAACTGTGAGGTGAGATTTTTTTTTCCCATGCTCTTTTTTGAAATGCTAACAGAGACTGTACTAGAAAATGCAACCTTGGACACCATAGTGGCTAGAGTACAGAACATTTCAGGTCAGGCATCAAAATGGTTTGGATCCAGACCTACTGTTTCAAGATAGGAAAGGCTCCTTCAGGTCAAGGAAATATCTCAGATACAACAAAGACTTCTGCTGGAAGGAAGGAGGAATACAATCATTTCCTTTTTCCTTTTCCCCCTTTCAGCCCTCACACCATCCCCCATGCCGTTCTGCAGAATCGAGAGCAGCCTTTCAAGAACATGTAGAGCTGGTGAATATCTGATAATTACAATGGATTTGTTTTTCAACCTTCAAGGTATGAAACCATCAAGTCAGTGGAGTCCTGTTCCAAGCAATTCTGAATATAACCCAATGGACATTATGCCAGTTTACAAAGTGGTGAAAAACATGCAGTCTCAGACAGTGTATATTCAAAATAAATCCTCTGATACTTACAGCCAATCATCATCATAGCAACTGCAAAGATCTTCTCTCCATCAGTAGTCGGTGCAATGTTCCCAAATCCAACACTCGTGAGGCTTGTCATTGTAAAGTATAATGAAGAGATATAGACAGAATCCTTGCTTGGTCCTCCTTCCCATTTCCCAGTTGTTGTATTTAATTGATAAGGTGATCCTATAGATTCCCCTAGCTGGTAGAGCCAACTTTCATTCCTTATTGTGTTCTTATCCTCATTGATAACTTCGTAGTCCCCGATGCTGTACCAAATGCAGGCCAACCAGTGGGCTGCAAGACCAAAAACACATACCAACAAAACCAGGACAGCTGCTCCATACTCAATATAATGGTCCAGTTTTCGAGCCACACGACCCAGACGAAGAAGCCTCACTACTTTAAGTGAGCTGAACAGACTACTGATGCCCTAGAAGAACAAAACAAAACAGCCCATTAGCCTTTAGTGTTAAATGATCTAATATTGTCAGTCAAGAATAAGTAACCAGAGCTTTAAAAAAAAGTTCAGGTATGTGTCCCCTATGAAGACAAAATAAATGATTCTGGTTCTTGATGCATTCTGCAAATGGGCAAAAAGATGGACACTGGCTGGGAAAATGCAGCTCCACTTAAATGTCATGGAAATGGAAAAGATAGAGAGCAGTTACATTTTGTCACTAATTTCCCTACAATGAATTAATACTTCAATTGAGTTGGGATGAAGATATTGAACAAATAGTAGGAAGTGGCGCTAGAGTTTTGGAAATCTGCATGTATTCGTCACAGTGCAAAGTATGTTGCCTCGATTTCATTAAAGCTGGAGGGGAAATCTAATCTGAACAAAGTTCATTTTATGTTATCAGTGGAGTGGAGGTGGTCGATATCTTGGAAAGAGTCGCAGATTTTTTTTGGATGAATTGTTAGGAGGTGATGTTCTGCTCCTTACTGAATGCTTTCTGCCTTTTTGCTTTATGGATTCTGTAAATATGGTTTCCCAACAAACCAGTTTGATTAAGTCTTACTGCTTTATATGCCAATAAAGGTATTTATTATTATTATGTAAACCACTGTATCCAGCAGGCAATGCCTGGCTTTGAACCAGAGTGTTTGATCTTATGAGTGTTTGATCTTTGTTGAAAACAAAACTATTCAATCCTCTAACCTAGAGTTGAGTGTTGATGTTCACTGTCCTTCCTTCCAGATGCATGGCTGGCAAAACTGTGCTTTCAGTTATAAGGCAATCTCCTTGTGCCTGTCAGCATTATGCCATGTTCTCTTGCACATCAGTCCTCTCTCTAGGCTAACAGAAGATGGTGATAAGTGACTCTTTGCTAACTGCTTCCCTGAACTGCACAATAGTTTCCAGCAGAAACTTCTAGAAGCTAGATATATGGGAGGCATTTATAGATGAGGCAGTCTGTATTCTGCTATTGACCGCCTAGAGTGGTCGAAATGACCAGATAGGTGGGGTATAAATAGAATTAAATAAATAAATAAATAAATAAATAAATAAATAAATAAATAAATAAATAATACACTAATTATAGATATAGATATAGATGATATAGATACAGATATTGGTATAATCTGCTCAGTGATCAGATATAAGAAGGTATGCATATAAGTAAAGTTCTTTTAACTGTAAATGACCTGCACAGAATTGAAATGTTCTTGCAAGCAAGAAAGCTTTTGCATGGGTCTAAACTATGTTCTAAGGCAGGAATGCTCTATTGTTCTTGGAGCTAAGCTGTGCTTTGTATACTTGATAGGGAAATGACCACATTGGTATGAATTACATTAACCTGACCACTTTGGTCTAGCTCCACGTATCCTGACCCACTGATGAAATGGAGCATCTCCAACCCTTTCCAAACAGGAAGTCAGACTCCATGCAAAAAAAAGTGTTCTACACACCTTCTTTACATGCATCAGGATCAAGCAAACTCAGCAGCAACAAAGTGAATATTTTAAAAGGCCTCCATTGTAAAAGTCCAGCTGAGGACATTTGGCTCCCTAGGTTGCAGAACAAGAGGGTGGATCTTCCCTGCTGTTCTGAACAGACATCTGAATCTTTCCGATGAAAGAGACAGTATCTTCTCCTCCTAAATGGGACTTGGGAGATCTAGGTTCTGGTCTCTCGCTCACTCACCAAGCCATGAAACATATTGTGTGACCTTGGGCTTTGTTCAGGCTGACCTACTTCACAACTTCAAAGGAAAAGAAAGAGGTTGGTACAGTACAAGTACATGAAAGATGTCAGAAATGTCTTATGAAGCAGCATGAAAAGAGAGCAAAATTCCAGGTGTCTCCATAAAGGATGGTGGGATTCAGCTGACTGGAAAGCATTTGAATGGAGAAGCTACAGAAATGTACTTTGTTGATAGCCAGCCTTTGGCAGAGATGAGCTGCAGGTGACATTCACACCATGGATAATGGGCATTTAACAACCATTTGGTTTTTGCAAGCAGGACATTTAGAGCCAGTTGTGGTGTCTGAGGGAGAGGAATAATTCAGATGGACCATCATTTAACAACTGCTTGGTATGGTGATGAATTTTAATTCCCAGGCCTGCCCTCTGCAAGCATTCTGCTCACTCCATTTTATGACAAGGACGAGGAGGCAGAAAAAGGAATAGTCAGACAGGGAAAAAGCCATCTCCAGTGGGTGATCAGCATTTTTTGCCCATGAGCCTGCTGAGCTGCAAACTCATTTGAAATTCTAAATGTTCCTTATTCACGGAATTACTTTTCTATCTTTTTTGTATTGGATAAGATAGGCCACACACTGTGAGTCCCCTGTACTTTTATTCTAAAATGCTGCCACTTGTATATGGGGCTGCCTTTAGACTCTTCCACTGGTCCAGAAAGCTCAACACAAAGCATGTGATGCACTTGTTACAACAGTTTTACAAGCTGTTTTTGCTCTTTACAGGAAGTCCTTGATCATTTAGTCCAGTTGTATCCAACTCTAGGGTGCGGTGCTCATCTCCATCTCCTAGCCATAGAGCCAGCATTTGTCAGTACACAGTTTCCGTGGTCACGTGGCCAGCGCGACTAGACATGGAACACCGTTACCTTCCTACCATGGTGGTACCTATTTATCTACTCGCATTTACATGCTTTCAAACTGCTAGGTTGGCAGGAGCTGGGACAAGGGACGGGAGCTCACTCTGTTGTGTGGATTCGATCTTATGACTGCTGGTCTTCTGACCTTGCAGCACAGAGGCTTCTGCGGTTTAACCTGCAGCGCCACCACATCCATGTCCTTATATTATTAAACAAGCAAAATGTGCTGCTTACACACTGCCCCATAGTGCTTAAAAGTACTTTCTGGGCAGTTTACAAATTAATTCTACAAGCTACACATTGCCCCCCCACCCCCAAACAAGCTGGGTATTCATTTTACTGACCTCAGAACGATGGAAGGCTGGGTGAACCTATACAACCTTTGACCAGCTTATGTGAAAAATTATTTTCCTTTACTGGACTGCTTCACTTTTAAAATCTTAGTGGGATGCCATTCTGCCCTCAGCCTGTGGAATTCCCTACCACAGGAAGTGAAATTGGCCCCCGTTGTGTTGGCCTTCCTCTTATGAGAAAGCACAGGCGTTGATACAGACCGTTTGCCTCTAAACTTGGCTAGAGTTTCAGGGAGCAATCGGTTCTATTTGTTGATGTGATTTTAATTTATATTTTAACTGCATTTGTTTTTCTTCGAATTTTCTTTTTCTCAGCTGATTTGAGTGCTGTTTTTAGAAAAAAAGGTGGGACAAATTAAATAATTAAAATAGGCAATGAATGAATGAATAAATGAATGAATGAATGAATGAATGAATGACATATTACTAACACATGTTATTAACAATGCATTCATGAATTGTACCTCTGCAAAAAAAGAACTGTCTGGTTCTTTGAGGCTATGTATCTTTACACTTTCTTTACCATATCTATTCACAAGGGTTTCAATATGACTTATAACAATTCCTGTGGCTTTTATCCAAGTGTATGCTAGCAGTACAAGTCCAAGAGATGTGGTTCCTCTAGCAGCTGTTATGGTTGCACAACTGTCAATGAAATAAGTAATGGAACCAATGCAAGCTACACTGAGGATAATGAAGTCATAATAATAGTAACTGCATGACATCAAGTCAGTTCTGAGATATGGTGATGCTTTCCAGGCATTTCTAAGTAGAGATACATAGAAGTGGTTTACCTACTAAACCATTAATTACTTTTCAATCTCTAGTACAAGTTGAGCCAGTAGTTGTGTAAGTGGACTTAATGTATTAGATTTAACACTTGTGTGAAGGTGAAAATTAAGGTTTTTCTAATCTTCAGAGTTTTGTCTTTGAGGATATAATGCATACCGTATTTTTCCATGTATAAGACACCCCCATGTTTAAGATGCCCCCACTTTTCTAACCCAAAAGTAAGAAACCTAAGTGGGACTTAGCAAGTGTAGGGGGGAAAGGATCAAAGCCCTGAAGGATCTCTTTGATCCCTGCTTTCCCTTCCACTTCTTTTTGTTCTCTCCTCAGCTTACTTCCATATATAAGATGACCCTCAATTTTTATTCGAAAGATTTTAGATAAAAGTATAGTCTTATACATGGAAAAATACGGTACTTGCAACATTTCTCACCCTAGAAGGAACAGGATGCCTTAAGACATTTTGATACCTGTCAAATATTGTCAGCCACTGTGATGTTTTTAATTCAAGCACAAGGATTAAAAGACAATTGCTTTTTTTTCGGTCATCAGTAGCATGAACAAAATAGGTGATAGTGGGGTTTTGCACAAAACACTTGCATTTTGCACCTAAAAGCTTGCATTTTACACAAAGCATGACTTTTGTTTCCCACAAAAGATAGTTAACTGCACAAAATGCACATATGAATTTTAGAGTGGAGAAGTCTTGAAACTTAAAAAAAAACAGAGGGTGCTAAACTCGTGATCTCATTCATGGTGTTTGTCTGAGGACTTTTGAGACTTTCCATTCTCCTCTTCAAGAATGAAATAAGTGAAGAACTACATCCCTGTTTGTGCCATTGAAATGACATAATTGGCAATAACCCTGTGAATTGTTTTCATACAGTGTATACATAACTATATGAATGGAGTACACAGAAATGTTCCCAGAGCAACTGTCATGAACAAAATTAAAACACACAGTAAATGTGTCAGGACGGAAAATAATATAAATATGTGGAATCTGCAGTTTATTGCACATATTTGTAGGGAGGCTTCTGACTTGACTGGGAGGGTATAAATTTTGGGGTGGACCTCTTCCCCTACTCCAGTCATGAGCCATCTATATTTACATGAAGTATTTACATTATGTTTTTTTTTCTGTGAAGCGCAATAAGGCATTGGCCTGCTTTGCTCCAGACAGTTAGTCAACAGATGCAGCCTACATCTTTGACTGTGACCTT